GTTCTCCATAGGGAACTCTCATTTGATAAGAGACATTATTATATACATATCACAATTCATTCTTCTGAGATTAACTTGCCCTGGAAAATTTCTTCAAAAAGTTCAGAATACAAGAGTAGTATGAAGTCTGTCGTTTGCTGGCTGAGCCACCTTATTTCAAAATAAACTTTTAAACTAAGCCAATTAAATTAGTGAGCTTAAAAAGAATTCCTAGGACTGAAAGGACTGTGCTGATTAGTGCATGTATCTTTTAAGGGGGGCCCTTAGTCATTTGCTTTTTCACACCATTAACAGTGCAACAGTAATATTCTTGAAAACCTCTCACCTTTTATTTAAATCAAGTCTGAAAACATTTTAATTAACATTTTCTGCGCAGGAAAAATTCACAAAACAAAATACATCTTCCCCTGTGTAATACTCTAATTTGTTGTTAATGAGCATTCATAAATTATCTCTAATTAACACAGTCTCTTTAAATACACTTCTCAATTTGTAATTTCTATTTCCTTTCCAGCAATTCATGTTCTAAATATAACCAAGCACACATATCTTAATGATAACTGCCAAAACCAGAGCCAACTTTTTATTCAAATAAGTTGGGGCATTTCACTATTGATTGTTCACTGCAAAATCATCTGAAATGCTAACACTGCCAATGATTTGGCCATCGATATTAAAATGGAGAGAGGTCAGAAAAGTGGACCAGCAACGAATTACCACAAAGTAAAATCATGTCCTGATAAAAATAGTAGTTTCTATTTCAAAGAAAAAATGAAATCTGCCTGCCTTAATGTGAAAATTAAAGGATCAGTTCTATTAATTTATTCTGACAGATGTGCAAATCCTTTTTAACACTACATAATTAGCCATGGTGTGATTAGAGTTGGTGTCACTCCGTGTAGTAACTCAGGGTGTCACTCCCTGAGTTAAGAGCAGGGAGGTAAGACCAGCTGGTGGTGGAGGGTAGGCGTGGGGTGTGAACACACAGAACTGGGTAAGAGGTGTGATAACAACACTAGCGACACTACTGAAAATGAGACTATAATCCCATAACCTGAGGTCACTGTGGCTAAAACAAAACAAAGACTGTGCTCAGTATCCTTTAAGAGCACTGTCCTTTGAATAATCTCTCGACACCAGCATTGCCTGATTTATAGGCATTGTCATAGATAGAACACACTACCTTTCAAGAAGATAGAAGCTCTCGAAGCATGTTTAAAACATTCTGTTAGTGGTGTATTTCGCCTGTTACTGAAAGAATCTATCTGCAAGCCACAACTCCATGAAGACCTTTACTGTGACTTTGGAGGTGGCATCTGTTAACGAGAACTCAAACCCAAAGTCACTGCTGTGGAGTAGTGACCACTTACAGTGACCATAGGGTTCCCAAGCTTGTAATCACTATGGACAGAATGCCAATCCTTTCCCCCCATGGCTTGCCTGGTGGATTCTAACTGCTAACTTTGTGCTTAGCCATGGTATCACTTGGCCATGGTATCAGCAGGGTTGCTTGATAAGGGAAAATACTATAGAAAATGAAATTGTATGAATTTTAACAGCTGAAAATACCCCAACCCAAATGAAGTCCAGTGCCATTAAGCTGATTCCAACTCATGGCGACCCTCTATACTACACTGTAGAGTACCTACTACACTCTAGAGGAGCCCGGGGGAGTAGCAATCACTTACTGGGCTGCTACCAACAAGGTTGACAGTTTGAAACCACCAGCAGCCCCATGGGACGATGACGAGGCTTTCTATTCCCCTAAGAAGTTAGTTTCAGAAAATCACAGGGGAAGTTTGACGCTGTCCTCTAGAGTTGCTATGTGTAGGCAGTGACTCCGTGGCAGTAATTTGTTGTTGTT